TTCTAGCTAAAATATATAAAATTTTAATTTGAATAGAAGATTTTAATAATTCCAGAACATCTACTTGTGTGAATGCCATATAAGTATGTGGATTTGGTACATCAGTCAAAGCTCAATTTAAATTTAATATTTTAATAATTTTTTTTAACATTAAAAATATAGTTTTATAGCTTCGTAGAAATTGTATAAATAGCGTTAAATTTTTTCACTCATTAACTCGAATGAAATCACTCAAAATTTTATGCTTAATAAATTTAGTTCGGGAAATGTGTTAAATAACACATAAATTTACTTCTTAAATATTTAGAAAATATTTACTTCTTTCTTCTTACTCTACAACAGATCAGTTTTGCATACTTTTAGGAAAACAAGGAAAATTAAGAGAACTGGAAACGTAACAGTCGAAAGTGCCGAAAATTGATAGTTTGCTAATATTAATAGACTTTGAAAAGGATTTAATTGGAAAAAAATTTTGCTCCAACAAAATAGATCATTTGCTAATTTTCCTGAACTGTTAAAACCTTATACTTCTACAATTTATCTTTTAAGATTAATTTGAAAGAACACCTATTCGAAAAGATTATATGATCTCTCGGACGCATGTGGCTATTTTTCTGTGTTTACGAAATTTAGAAAATGTCTAAATGATATAAATACACTAAATTGTTAAAAAACAAATACGTTTTTAAGAAGTGGAGCAGTCATAACTTGGAGAGGACCCAGAGGAAACTATAAAAAAATAGTTTTACAGAGCATCCAGGATATCTCAAATTTTTAGGCCAGGATATTCTACGTCTCCCAGGATTTTTTCTGACTATGATTTTTCCTTGTAGAAATAAATGCAGCAACGAATATTTTTTTTAATGTCGTATTATTTGGTCAAAGTATTCCAATTTCTTCTTTTTTACAGTTATGAGTATGTTCAGCTATTTTTAAGCCAAGCAAGCCTTTGAAAGTGTTCTTCGTTTAGATTGCAACCTAGGTAAGAATACTTTTTCGATTTTTATGTTATAAACTTTTAAGCGGTTGTTAGATATTCTTTCCTTGCTGATTAGTAAAATGATTAATATTTTCAAATGCTAAATTAAAATTACTGCTAAATATTAGACTCTTAAATATATGAAGTGGTAGCAATTTATATTTGAGTGTTAATAATATTATACCATATGCACAAAGCAAAAGAACAAGAAATAAGTACTTATTTGGTTTTATTATGAAGTGTATATATGTATGTAATATTCTTTACAACTTTTAATTGGTGATGTCGTTATATATAATTTAATTTTAATTTTCGTTTACTTGTACAAAAAGACATGATGGAATAATTTATAATATATCTCTTAGAATTTTACTTTATAGTGTGACTGAATTATAAAAGATTCTTAATTTTAAGTGATTTCAGTTAAAAATGAATTTAACAGAATTTATTACAGAAAGTAGTATTTAAATCAGATTAAATTAACATAATATAAAATCAGCTTTAAATTTAGAACATTTAAAATTAGCTATAGGTACACTTGATTGATTACATCTTACATTACTTGGTACTGTGGAACAGTGAGCATCTTGGAAAATACTAGGTAACATTAGCATTATACTTTTTTTTATTCAATTTTTAATTAAAACTTATAATTCTAGTTACTATTTTAAATAACTACTCACATTTAAACAAAATAATATTCATTTATTTTTATAACATAAGTTCTTAAATAGATTAAATAGATTAAATAACAGATTCTTTAATTAAACGCATACCGCCAGCTGGATAACTTCAAAATTTACACAGTTACTGTATTATGTTCCTTATAGCTACTCCTTTCATAATATTTAAAGAACATCTTCTTGCTTAAGATGTCCAATATTGAAACTATATCCAAAATGACAACACAAACAACTTAGAACGCTTTAGAACTGAACTTTTTGTAACGTTTTCGCAATAAAAAGAAAACAAGCAGTTAAAAACTACTCTAACTGAATTTAAGTTTGATAAATTTCTTTCATATAATAAGTAAATTGATTTTTCTCTTTCAAATTTCACTTAAACACTTAAAAAAAGTTCTTCAAAATTGTCATTACATATTGCAGAAGCGTACATAATAAAAACAATTCTAATAAATATTTTAATATCTTAGTAAGCGACAAGAATTTCTTTATTATTATTTAACCATTTCACATTTTTTTTATGTTTTTAATTAGCATAAATTTACTGCAACTACAGTAATACAGTACCTATAAACTAGGTACTAGAACATAATGTGAAAGTATACATACTTGCAATTTAATTTAAAAATTAAATGAAATTATTCACACATCACAAGTGCATATAACACTACATTGTATATTTTAATAAATGAAAACATAGTTTAAAAATTAATTTAATTCAAGCTTTGTACGCATTTGAATATATGTTACTCATGTATGTTTAAGTTAATTAATCCACTCATAATGTGATATTATGGGGTATTCAAAAATTAAATATGTAGTTTTATTAAATTTTAATTAATTCTTTATCATATACTTAGTTAATATTAAATTATAAGTATTTTATATTGCTAAATATATGAATTATTAGTTTGAAAAACAGCCTAAATTTATTGGAGTCCAGGCTGTTGCTCAAATTAACAGTTTGTAATTTGAACTTAATTGAACACTATGAAAGTTATATCAAAATTTTGGATTTAATTTGAATATAATTATAAGAATATAAGAAAAATATTCAATAAATTTTATAAATTACATTTTGAAAAATAATTAAAACTTAAAAAAAGTTTAAGTTTGGAAAAAATTATATAATTAACGATTTTTATTGTCAAAATTTTGAAAAAGCAGCTACATAGTAATAAAAATTTACTAACAAAATGACACTTAAACATTATTTCTTATTATTACTTATTATCAGTTAGTGGTTTGAAGCTAGACATGAGTCGCACGAGAACATGTCAGTGCTATAAGAACGATTCTGACAGGTCATTGTCTCATTAGTAAAGATACAAGAAATATGGGCCGCCCCACAAACAAACTCTATAGATACGTGCTACAACGAAGAAGAGGAGGAAACGGTGACCAATTTCCTACGCCTATGCTCGGCACTAGTGAACTCCAAACAGATATTTCTTAGGTCTAATTTTTTCATATGCTGCGGTATTATCGAATATAACCTTAGTCGATTTTTGAAAAGTTCGGCCTGCTCCAGATGGCATAAAACGAAAGATTCATCCGTACAAAGTACATGTTTTGGAAAACCACATCGACCTAACCTAATATGTAAATATAAGTTTCTATTCGGATAAATAATTAATATGTTATTAACAGTTAATAAAATTTCAATTTAAAGTAATAAGTACATATATACTTATTTTACGATATATTCACTACTATACTTAATAACAATTCTAGAAAATTCACTACTATTCTCAAATATTAACTGGATATCACAAGTTTCGGATTTTCAAAAAATTTTTAAAATTTATTTAGAATAAATAGTACTTGGCAATACCTATTCATACTAGGTATAAGATATATTAAATGCTATACTTTCAAAGAATAATATTTATAATCTAATTAGTAATTATCATTTTTATTGATTACATTATAAACATTTAACCTATTTATTTTGGTATGTTCACTTTCATTAAATTGCATATTGAAACGATATTTTGCATTCTTAGATGTCCACATATAGTTATGTATAAGTATACAGAAAAATATTTCTACAAATGTTTATAATAAAATTGAAACAAAGAAGTATAGACATAAAGACGTTAGAGTTAACAACAAATCAATTACATATAGTTAAATATTCTAATGCACAATAATAATTATTATGAATAAAAGGAAAAATTCATTTAAATCAGGCATTTCATTTTTTTTTACTCCATACGACAAAATTACAATGAAAATTAGAACATGTAAATCAAAGCAAGTTATTACGTGATTCATTTATTAAGTAAATTAAAATTATTAATAAAATTAACATACGATTAAATTGCTTATTCACACATATTTCACATTACAAAATATTTTAACCCATTGAAAACTTTAATGAATATTTTTTTTATTAAATTATAGCTTTAATAATTATTTTACTAGATTTTATTAAGTAGATTATTGTAACTATTTTCATAATAAAGAATGTTAGATAAATAACTGAAATATTAAGAGACACCAATTAAGATTCTCTGAATTCATAGAAACTTTTAATATTAGTTGACTATATAATAAATATTTCAAAGAGATTAAGTAAAGTTTCCTCTAGAAATTAACAATTTGGATTACAAATAATTTATGGTATTAAAATATTTTTAATTTTCTAATTAACAAAGAAATTATTATTTTTTGTTTTCTTCACTTAAGACATTTTTTTTCTAACAAGTAAGAATTTGGCTTTTTTTTCAGAAAAAAATAAGTAAAAATAAAAAATTTTCCTCAATTTTTAACATTATAAACAAAACGAAAAATAAAATATTCGGTGAAATGACTAATAAATATAAACATTTTCTTATAATCTAAACAAATAAACATATATATATATATATTTTTCATCATAAATATAGAACTTTGGAGACTAAGTTCTCTATAAATATATTCTAAATGATTTTTTAATGTAATTAAAATTACGTATTACATTTAAGTATTTTATACTCATATTGGCTCAGATACATCTTTCGAGGATAATATAGAAAAATTGTCTTTCTTAAAGTATAAATACGAATTTCTGCAATGTATAATTTTCGGTAACATAATATTGCGACAGTAGCCTTTGTATTGAACAATTTCAACCAATAGTTTTTGTATAATTTTGACATTAGTTTGAATTACATTAATCTACCCTTCATTCAACTCAATTTCGAAATTGGATTATTTAAAAGATCATTATTTACTTTCAAGTAATACTCCCATCATTTCGAAATTAATTGCTTATAAATAAATAATTGCTTATATATAAAAATGCTTTTAAATAATCAAAAATTATGAAATATTATTTATTTTAAAAAACTTACTTCATTGATATATGACCATGATGTGGTCGAAATTTTGGTCGATCTGGTAATCCTAAAAATTGTAAAATTTCTTTTTCAACTTCTCTTTTATCAGCATCATCTAATAAACGATGCATTATTGTTCTATCAATGCCATTATCAACATAAACACCTGAATAACTTGCTAATACAGTTAAAATATTTAAATAAATTATAAAAAATATAATTTTCAAATAAATTTGAAATTTTTTATTTGACATTTTTTTGGAAATTTTCATTTTTTTTTTTAATTTTACTTTCTTTTTTAATTTATTTTTTATATTGTTAAGTTAGATGTTAATTATTTTTATTTTCAAAATTAATTTCTTTTTAATTATTAAATAATTTTATCTATATTAATTATTAAATGATGTGGCATTTAATTAAATTTCTCACTATAAAATGTTGATAATTAAATTTCATTTTTGTAGATTTTTTTTTTATATTCTAATCTTGTTTTATTTTTAGAATTTCCTTTTATACTTAATATATAAAAATATATTATTATTATTGATGTATCTGTGTTCCTATTTAAAAATAAAAATTTTTTTTTGTTTTATAAATTTGAACTTTGTTTTAAATCACCACTAATTAAGTAATTAATTACTTAAGCTTTTCACACATTTAAATTAATTCATTCCATATAAAAAAAATACTATTTATTCATTTTTTATTTTTTATTTTTTGTTATGCAATTTCTTGTTTTAGAATGTTATATTTATAAATGGGCACATGTGTCTGTATATATTACAACAGTTAGAATTTATTTTCATAATTATCATAATTTTTTGTCTTTTTTTTTTAATTTTTTTTTTTACTTTTTAAGAATTTTTTAAAACAAGTTAGAGATATTTCTTCTAAAAATAGATATCTAAATGAATGAATAAAGATTATATTTAAAAAAAAAATATTTAAATTAATAATTTTAATTCTCTGTTATGTTTACATGCGAAATTAAGAATGAATTTAAAATTAAAATTGATATAGGGTCTTGCAAGCTAGAACGTATTCTTAAAGCTAACACATTAATATGGCCTTTCATTTAAAATTATATCTGATTATGACACCGATTAGAAAAACATAATTTTACAATATACATATACATATATGCATATATGAAAATTTAAATAAAATATTAATATATATGAAAAATGTATATTAATATTAAAAAGTAACATAAAATAAATTTATTACTTCTTATAATAAAATGAATGGAATAGGAAAGAAATTCAAATATTTTTCATTTTAATAATTAATTTAATAAATGAAGAATAATTAATTTAAAAAACAAAGAGCTGAACGGGGGAAAGTGTTACAACACATATTATACAATATTATACAAAAGTAAAGTATATATGAATATTTTTTGTTCAATTTGATCCTTAAACTTTATTCATCATTGAACCCTTTGAAAAATATAATGTTAATTTTAAATTAATATGTGTAAACTATAAATACAATGTTTCACCGGACTATATACGTTTAAAACGGTGCATGTACACTTCCACTTTTCAACTTTTAAAATTTTATTAATATGGAAGACATCCTCCCTCTTAAATGTACAAATCTGATTTTTGTATCAAGCAAAGATTGTGAAAGTACTTTTAATTGCATCAAGGAGCACAATACTATAACATAACCTATAACATAACACTTTCTTCCAATCGGGTCTTAGATTGTATTAGTTTTCCATATGTTTTTTTATTAAAAATTTTATGTATTAATATTTTTAGTTGAAATTATAAATTTAATCAAAATCTGACAAGTGAGTTAAAGTTTAAATGGGAATAAGCTATATATACGATATTTTATTATATTAAATACCACTGTTGAATGTAAAATATTTTTTCTAATTCAAATTCACTTGATTTTATATTACATCAATTTTTATATTATTACGTTATTAATTATTATTTAATTAAATTTAAATGTAGTTTAAATTTTATTTTTCTTAATATAATTATATTCACATACAAATTTTTTAAATTTGTACAATATTTTATATAATATATTTTAGTACTTTATTCAAATTTTATTTTCATTCAAAACACTAAGATTTGAATGAAAATAAATTACAAATTTTAATTTTAATTCTAATACATACTATATGATTTTCTTTTTTTTTATTTAAAAAAAATTTCAATTATAATTGCAAAAATTCTTTAGACTCTATGTCTATGAACACAAATTAAAATTTGTGATTTGTATTGAATGTACATACATATATGTATATATATATATATATATATATATATATATATATATACATATATATAATACATTAATTCTATAATATGAAAATACGTTTCACATTTATGTATGAAATCTTATGTACCTTTAGATAATTAATTATAATGAATTATATATACTATGATCACCACCACCTTGTGATCATTTATACTTAACACATAAATTATTATACTATTAATATTATTAAAAAAAAAATACAATAAACATTTCAATAAATTTTTTTATTATAAATATTTATTAAAAAAAAATTGGAATTTTGAATTTTCTTATTTTTCTATCAATACATTCAATTTTAGAAATTTAGAATAAATTCCATATGCAAGGTATATTAACAGTTTAAAATGGAAATTGGCTATATGCAAAAAACTTATTTTTCAGAAATCATATATAAATATTTTATATGTACTACTTGTCAGTATAATCCGAAAAACTACATACATGTGCACCTTTAAAAAAAAAGTTGAGGAAATTTGTAAGCAAAACAGTTTAACATTTGTAAGCAATTTATAAGGCTTTTTGGATATTAAATTAAAATATCGAATTTTGAAAATAGTCAATTCGTATTTTATATTTCTGTAGGTAAGTATATCTGTATACCTATACTTTTTATATGAACTTATACCATGTAGAACAAGAATAAGTTTAGATTATTGTTTTTAAATTAACATTCAGCAAAAAAATCAAAAATTTCAATCCAATCTCAACTTAATTTGCATGTAAACATTTAAATTTTTTTATTTAATTATTTTATATTAAATTAATTTTATTTTAACATACAAATCTGCATAATTGTACAAGTACACAAAGTGAATTCTTTAAATATAACCAGCAAAATTAAAAATTAAAAAAAATAAGAGCGATTATTACAATATTGATATGAATGTACACAGGTACACAGGTAGGTGTATAATAAGTATAATTACATTTGTTATATTTATTATAATTAATAGATAATTAAAATTCAAAACGAACAAGAAAACTTTAAATTGTACAAAAAAATTTTTCTAAAAACTTCTAAAACAAATTTTTTAATTCATTTATTATTAATTTTTTCTTACACAAATACTAATATAAAGTGAAAATATGATTAATATTAATTTTATTATAATTAATACAACTAATATTTAAAAAAAAGTATAGAGAAAAAAATTATTAAAATATTTTAAATGCGCACACCGCGATATTTTTTTTATCTATCTATCGTTTTTGGAGTTCCAGAAATAACTGATTAAAAAAAAACTCAATAATTTTGTCTTGCGCTAATGGAAAAGATTGAGCATCTTTTTCTTGTCTTTTTCAACAATAATAACAATAATAATAATAATAATAAGAAAGAATAATAATAATAATAAAAGAAAAATCAAACAACAACAATAAATACATCAGAAAGCAACAACAATAACAACATGTACAATAGCAACAACAACAGCAACAATAACAAGACAGTAAAAATAATAATAATAATAACAATAATAATAAAAACAACAAACGGCGATAAAATATTTAAAGTTTATAAAATTCATTCCTTAAAAACCACTCTCTTGACATCCCGCACCGATGACGCCGTCGATTACCGTTTACCAGTAAATCTTGTAAATACATACGTGTATACATACATACACATAATCAGGATTACCAGATATGTAGAAAAAAAAACGAAATTTGCCGACAAAAAACCTAAATTGCACGATTTCTGATATACCAATCCACTATTCAACTTAGTCCCTCAAAACAAGTTCTCAACGCGTTGAATTGTTAGAGTACTTTGTTGGCAAACCATTGCAAGGTTGAAATCCAAATAAAGTTTAATTGTAAGCGACTACGTTGATCAACATATTTTCAACGTATTGAAAAACTAAATGAAACTTTGGATGCGCAGCCTTACAGCCACATAAAAATCGAGGAATTTTAATTGAATAATGGATTGGCAGCATTAGCTAAGCTTAAAATCTGAAGTGTTTCAAGTAATGATAAAAATTTTGTAACAAATATTTTTTAAAAATTAAATTTTAAATATCAAAATTGAAAATTTTAGATTTTGGTTGATTCCCCTTAAAAATTCTTAAAAACAAAAATACCCGAGGTTTTATCATTAAGTATTAAGTATTAAAAATACTGCAGTTTTAGATAATTACGCCAGGTTTGGCAGCCCTGCATATAATAAGTATCTTATTTATACTCATTCTATAATTTGTAGATATTTTATAGATATAAATTTATATATACACATATATAGATATGTAAGTTATGTATATGATTGTATTGTGTATATGTATGTATATAAAGGTATATTACCACCATTATACTATTTAAGTTGGTTTTGCTTCTTGTTTTTTTTTCTTCTTTTCTTTTTTTATATTAGTATATTTTATATTGTTGTTGTTAGTTTTCAAAAAAATTTTCTGTTGTTCATTTCTTTTTTGCTCTTTTTTTTTTATTATTTCTCATGTTTTCTTTCTTTATTCACTTTTTCAAACTTTAAATAATATTAAGTTTTTTTTATTTTTTTGATTTTTCTTTTTAGTTTCCAAATAAACCGGTTAATATTATTAGTATTATTAAAAAAAATTATTTAAAATTATATTTTTTATAAGATTTTTTTTTTGGTATTTCTTTCTAAATATGTATACTTACATATATTTTATATTGAAAATATCACCGCTTTATTTAAATATACGAAATGAAACTGAAAAGTCCATGTGTATAATTTTTATATTTTAAAAAAAATTTTTTTTTAAATTTAAAATGTTAAAAATATTTTATTAATTTATTATCTTTTATATATTAAAATTTCGATTCAGATTTAAAAATTGGGTGTGTAGCTAATACAGAGACAAAATAAACAATGCCAGGCTAATGTTTTTAAAAGAAATTATAATGTTTAACGAAATTAATTAGAGTATTTGAACGAAAACAGAAATCTCAAAGAATTCCGTAATGCCAAACTTATGTACGATCAAATTATTCATTACAAACAAAAATAATAATTAAAATCTTATTTTCTTTGTCCTAATTATACAGTCATAATCATTAATATTACACTAATAAGGGAAGCCATAAAAATGATATGTAATAATTTTATTATTATTATTTTGATGCAAACAGCGCATAATGCAGTAATGCATTTAATATCTATGTTATACCAGCGCTTAATTTTACGCCTAAAAATATGTAATTATAAAATTTTAATTAAAAACAATATTTTCTTTATGATAATGTAAACATTTCAAATTTAAGTCGTACTTATGTCTCTAATCATAATTTGTTCCATAAATACAAAATATAAAGTTTGTAATTTATTAATAATTTTTAAACCTCTCTGTTAACATTCTATAATAACATCACATAAGTCATTACGGCTGATTTCTTATAAAATGCTGATTAAATTATTTTTAATTATTAATGCAAGTTTCTTTACTTTTAACCAAAACTTTTAGCTAGCTCTAAATAAATTTTTACAATTTCAAAAATATATATTGCATAAATTCCGGATCCAAAAATGAATAATCAATAACGGAATTACACAAATTTACGCATTCGGTTGCCTAGGAATATTTGCATACGCTGTTATATCGAATACAACTTAATATATGCGTACATGGTTGTTATTTCATGTAAAAGTGCGTAGATAATTTAAAATAAAAAAAAAAATGTAAAAATATATTAAAATTAAATTATTTTTCGTTTATTTTTAACAATTTTTTTCGTTTTCAAATACGTTATGATGGTAGTGCATTAATTTTATTCCTTTATCTTTCACTTTCATTTAACACTTAATATAATATATATTTTTTTTAGCTTTGATTGTGTAATATACAAAAACATGTAAAAAAAGTGTTTTTCCTATCTTATTAAAAATCTTTTAATTAATAGTAAAGCATATGACCCATAATTAACAACATATATGTACATAGATTTCTATTAATTCATTTTCAATTAAATATTTTATAATTTATATGCAAATTGTAATGTAAGCATTATAATGCATGTATAGGCCTTATATACAATAATAATATATAAAAATATGTAATGTAAAGTGCATATGTTTAAAAATGAAAATAATCAAGTTAATTTGAAAATGTAAAAGAAATATTGAAAAAGAAAAATTAAATAAATATTTTTATTTTATTTATTTATTGCAATTAAATGGAAAACATAAGTTTTTCACATTAATATTAGTAAAATTTTTTTGAACCAATATGAACTCGTTTATGTACAATTTGGCTTATATGTACTTCTTAGGTTGAATTAAAATGTGGTATTAAAAGGTTTTTTTGCTTAATTTTAGAATTTTTCGCCTCTATAAATTAATAATGGCTATAATTAAATATTATAGTAAACTTTAATAAACATTTCTGCAAAATTTTTTTCAATTTGCAACTGAAGAATTTAATACGTTTTTATATTAGAATACTGTAGTAACGCTTTAGAACTGTTATATATTCCTTTTCAATCTTCAAAATAGAAATCCGTACGGTATATATACATCAGCAGGAATTTTAAATTTTGTTAAAAGTACAAAACTACCAAAAAAAATTTATTCTTGAAGATGAAATCGGTATATTATTGGCAAAATATTTTACAAAATCTAAAAACTATTTTTTTCAGATCGTCTATAGAAATTTTGAAGAATCTCGGCTTCTGTTGAACTAATTTTGTCAAGATACTTGTAAGAATAATTTAGAAAAAATTCCAAATTTTATTCGAAAAATCTTAAACAAAACATTTAAACTTAAAAACTAAATGATTTTTACCTTTGTAAATTCTTTTCAATAGAAAAAACAAAACTACTTATTTTCACATTTAAAAACAATTTTTATTTTCTCACTGCAATATACGGATGCACTTAACCGTTTTTCTTTTTTTTTTTTCTTTCGATGGCGCTTACTTTTTCCAGTTGATAATTTAAAAAATAAAAAAACAAAATAACAAGGAAAAAGAAAAATAAAAAGTCACGAACTTCTCTAATACTCTTTGTTAGAGGTTTATAATGATTAAAGTATTCATATATACATATAATATAAGATATTTAATATGAACTAAGCATAAAGCCATAAAAAGTATAGCATTGTTGTATTTCAACAATATTATATTGTAAACCATTTTGAGCGCAGTATAAAGGTATGCGCCAGTGCGTTTTTTTAGCCTTTTTATTTTCAATTTTTCTTTTAGTTTATCTTTTCATTTTCATGTTTCTTTTATGATATTATTATTAAAGTGGTATTCTTTCGAGTTTTAAAATAAAGTACAAGAGTATAAATACAACACTAATCGCATATACACCATAATATATTAACGTTTATGTATACGTACCTGTATACATTTAAAATACATAAAAATGAATATTGTAAATATAAAATTTTATATTTAATTTTTGTTTATTCTGTTTTAAGAAAACAGAAGAATTCCCTTTTATTGTACGAGTGCACATAATAATTTACATTTTATTTTTCAATCAAGATTGAAAAATTTGTTATAGAGTTTAAAGCTATAAAATTCAGCTGTACATAATTATATTTATGTAATTAAAAAATGTTATGCTACTTTAAATTTAAAATTAAGTTTTTACAATCTTGTTTTGTACTCTTCATAATTAAAATCAAATTGGTTATCGCTAATCAGTTATCAGGAGTCATTTCAAATAAATTAAACAAAAGTAAATAAAATTCAAATAGGATTTTGTACAAAATTTACTTATTTCCCATTAAGATTTAGTAAATTAAATTAGTATTTAACAAAAACATCTCAATAAGTAAATAAAAGAATTTAAATAATATTATAGTTTACATTTTTTTACAAAAGCTTTAAAATTCGAATAACCTATCATTTTGGTATTTTGATTTTTCAATCTTTTTTTTCTTCCATAGACTTATAAAAGAATTAACTACGTGTATATCTACATAATATTATTCAATCTAATGTTTCATTTAAGGGCATATAACACTTTACTATACGTATAACACTTTGGCTTATAAAAATCATACATGTCTAACTTACTTAATTCAACTTGAGTTGAATTCATATTAATTTTGTATTTAAACGAAATTATCAACAGAATGAACCCAACATGATTTGTAAGTTATTTCATAATAGTATCTTATATACTTATGTATATATACACATGTATACATATACATACGCACATACATACATAAATAAAATGTTTAGAACTGAAATAGATTTATGTTTAGTACAATAAATAAAAACGATCTTATAAAATTTTCTAAACATGTCTGATAATAAAAACATTTTTGCTATTATATTGAAAATTAACTTCATAAATTTTTTTTTGCTTTTTCTGTTTCCCTAAAACAATTTTCTCCCGCGGACCAAGTCATATTGTCTGAAAAAGTTAATAAAAATTTTACTACAGGTACATGGATACCTCAATTAAAATCAACACAATATACAGAAAACTAGTTTATTCCTTTTTTTTTCTTTACTTCTTTTGATTCATTCTTTTTGCAAAATAAAATTCCATTTTTAATAAAGGGTCGTTTACATTTCATGTTTTCCTACATAAAAATTTTTGAGAGATTTTGCCTAACTATAATATTTAGTTCTGATCAAAATTAGTTTAACACTTATCAGATTTGTAATTTTCAATTTTGCAACGTCAAATTTTAAATTCATGGGATTCACAAAAATTAACTATTTAAAATATTGCTTCAACTAAAAGTTCTCAGTTTATAAAAAGATCGATACTACTTGTTTAATTGATTAGATGCAATTACCTTTGGGCGCACTTTGATACCTGTGCCTTAATCAGGAATTTTAAATAAGAAAAGAGATAATAAACCAAATTCAAAATAAGAAAAATGAGGTAAAAGGACAATAAACAAGCACCATTTTTTATTCTCCTTGTTACCTCACTTTTTATCGTCCTCGTGAACTAAAATTAAATTTATTATTTTAAATTTTAAAATTTTAACTTTAGTAAATCTTTTTCTAAACTGAACGCATATCACGATTGTTCAATTCATGTTTGTTTGCAGTTCTAAACTGGAACTGTAGTCGCAGTCCGTTTTTGTTACAGTACTGCACAAAGAAATCTGTTTTAGTTTATAGTTCTGAGAAACTTGGGCAACAGAATTTGCAGGAAACATAAAATGATGTCACATTATTGCAAACATAACCAACAATGTTTTTGTTTCAAGCTTGGACATTGTTTGTAAATTGACGTTTTTTTTTGCAGTACTTTTATTTTTGTCTAGTACAGTGCAATTTTAAATAAATAAGAAATCTGCGCAATGCTGCATTTCATTAAACAATCGTTTGCTAAAAATAAATGAAGAACAAAATTATACAAATTATGAAAAACGGAAAGCAACGAAATACGCAGTTGAAAAACCATTTTTTGTAAGTCAAACATCCAACAGGTGGCAGCACTTATGGTTATATTTTATTACATTTTAGAATACATATTCACAATAAATCCAAAAACATGGTATAAAATGAGGAAACGACTTAATTAGTTTCGAAAAGAATCGAAAATTTCTCCCTGAAAAACTTTGATCTCACGAAATTTTGTTTACAAAATATGAAAAATAACAAATTTTACTAAATAAACTTTCAACTCAGTTGCATTTTAACTCCTGAAAAATAAATGAAATAAAAGAATGGCAGATAAGCTTTAAAATAACTTTATTAAAAAACTACTGAGTTACTTTTTGACTACGTCAAATTACATGTTAAAATGGATACAACTGATATAAGATAATTGAGTAAAAATTAAATTATGCACCATGGTCTTTAGTTTGTTATTATATTTCAGCCAAATAAAACCATTATTCAACTTATTCTATATTGTTTGGTTAATTTAGATTCCGTATATTGTGAATAATTTATTTACCCATATAACTTCAACCCAAAAAACATATAAAATCTAAATGTCAATTTTACATTTTTGTTATTTAGAAATTAGAGGGGTGTTATTAGTTAAAAAAAAGTTGTACACTTTAAATGGTGCGACAGGATATTATTTTTTTGTAACATTTTCAGTTCAAAAAGGTAAATAAATAAATGTAAAAGGTGTTAATATATTAAAAAATGATTGTAAGATAGAATTTTGTAAGTGACATTCCTTAATTTTTTGTGTCGTTTGAATTAAACATTTTTTCATCGTCATGGCGCAATCAATTTGCTAATGGCAGCCATTTTTCTTCAATGCAAAAGTGAAAATTCACATTAGGTATGTTTTAATATATGAAATAAAATAAAATAACAGGCAAATTCTTTATATTAATTTATATTATTGTTAAATGGTATTCCTAAGATTTAAGAATTACCCTTAATTTTGAGATAAAATAAGAATTAAAAGCAAAATGAGAAAAGTGCGCCTTTTCTGAAATAATGGTTAGTAAATAGAAAATGAAATGAGCTGATTGTAACTTTTTTTCCGTTTTCCCAAAAAATTGTACCATGTACATATTTACAGAAAAATTTATTAAGATTTTAGAAAATTAATTCAATGATAATTTCATATTTCAATAACAAATCAAATAAAATGGTTTAACAAATTTGAAAATTACGAGAGTTATGTGTGCATTTATAGTTGTATATATGTACATACATACATATATGCTTATACTAGATAATCAATTATTTCATCATGCAACAACTTTCTCTCAAAATGAAATTAAAAATTTTCAATTGGGCAAGTCTCACAAATACATTTTTACTTTTAAGTTGTACAGCGAATATTTAAAGCTAAAAGCAAGAGTAAACTTTTTATAGATTTTTTTTTACATAAGTTTTTAGTCGCAAAAGTCCAAGTTAGCATTTACGCGGCTAAGTCAGCTAAATTATAATTCTAAGTTTAATGTTGATTTACAAAATTATTATTTTTACTTAATTTTTTTTTTATTTAACTAAATACATAATAATGATGTAAATAAATAATATAAAAACTGGGAAAATTATTTCTCATGTAAATAATAATTGTATATGTATGTAAACAATTTTTACTCGAAAAACCACTACATATGCAGGTATGTAGTACGTAAGATTTTTTTAGATACATAATTATGTTAACAGGTGTAATATTAATTGTGTAATGTTAATGATATGTTTGCATGTAATATACATAAGTTTTTCATGTAATATACATGAGCAAAAACCTCAGAGTTTTACAATTTCTGGAAAATTTAACCTTCCTAAATTTTGGCTTCAGTCGTACAAAATGCGGCTAATTCTTTAAGTACTGCAAATCAAGCCACCACGCAAACCTAATATATAATACAATCTAAATCATTCATACCCACCTACTTTTGTTTCTTTGCGAATAAAATTTAGACTTCAAATTTACTCATTTTTTTCACAATATTTTAAGAGTTCTTACTCTTATTTTTTCATAAGCTTGATATGAAACTAAACATGTATATTTAAGTATAATAGTTAAGTAAATAAAAAAATATTATGACTTAGCTTAAATTAAAAGGTCTGGACATTTAGAAAAAGAAGAGAGTAACGATTGTATTTGAAAAAATAGAAAAAAAACGTTTCCAAATAAAGTGTAATTGCGGAAAATCATTTAACTTAAGCTCTGCGAATGTTATCTTTTTAAGAAGATTTTTAAGAAAATATGGTAATAAAACAAAATGATTACATATTTCTTTACAATAGTATTAATCAAATTATGATGTGTCACCTGGAAAATGGGAGTGTAAAATACTAAATGTCATGGACTGTAGTAAATGTAATTTCATGAGCAAGACCATTAAATGAAAATTGAGTAAATTCGTGGAGGTACATATACATATATACGTGATTCTTACTAATTGAACTCTTGCCTTATTCATATGATTATATCAAACTACATCCCAAATATTACAACCGGTTGAAAAAACTGTGAAAAGGAAAATCAAAACTTTTTCAGATATAGATATTTTATGTAATAATAGTAACGTATTAAAATTCGAAGGAATTTTTGTTAAGTTGAAAATTTCCTAGCAGTTTTTCGGCAAACAGTATTATTAAAAAAACATTACACATATTATTTATAATATTAAGCAAACTTCGTTACAAAGTTTAGTATATTTTGTTAAGTTAACTTAGCTAAACTTTAGTTCGGCGTCGAGAAGGGAGTTTATAATTAATGTCAAACCGATATTGAACGTTTTATAGAGAATTTAAAAAAAAAAATTTTTAATTTATTGTATACAATTTTTTAATTTCGTCATTCGGTATTAAAAATTTTTGATATCTTAAAATTTTTTATCAGACAGAAAAGAGAAATTTTTTTTTTTAATTAATTTGTACAAACTCTGGTTTTCGGTATAAACTGCAATTTACTAAAAATGGGTCGTTTCACAGCTCTGTCAAGCACTTTATATTAGTTTTCATCTGGCAGACTCAATATTCTTTAGATGGTTTTTGTGATTTTTCATCAATTGAATTATACTTATATTTTACAAAAGTATAAGTCAGTAGCTTTAAATCTTAATATAAGTTCGAAAATATGTTAATTTGTCAAAAATGCGTATAAATTTGATTTTATTTTGACAGTGGTCGTACGTATTTCATCAGTGGTCAGAGTCACCACAGTCAACAAATCTCCGATATTTTACTGTATTGACTGTATATTTGATCATCGGGATAGGATATCTATCCTTGGATTTCTGAATTACAAATCTTATTTTTGGTTCTATTATTCCATACTATAAATTAATTATGCTGAAATACTTCACGTGTAGTAAATTTTGTATAACAACACAAAAGAAAATTAAGTACATTTGTATAAATAACATAATACGATTAAAAATAATATAAGAGAAAAATTGAAAAAAGAGATATTTTTTTAAGTTTTTCTTGAATATTTTTTTGTTTGTATATGTTTTGTGTATTATATTTTGTTGTATTAAATAAATAACATGCATTTGGCGTAGTGTAAAATTCAATAAATTTTTTTTACTCTCTACTACATACTGATGTACGTGCACTCTACCTTTACACTCCTTTTCTGATTTTCATTTTTGACAGTAGTAAAAATATAAAATTCCGATAAAATAAAAATTTTTTTAAAATTTAAATAAATGTTTCTAAAAGAAACAAAAAATAATAAAATGTTGTTCATAAAAGTGGCTTTTTAAATTTTGGTAAATAATTTATTTTAAATTTATTTTATAAATATAAAATTAAAATCTTTAAAATAAAGAAAGAAAAAAGTAAGAGGACAGAAAATGTGAATATTATTTTTTTTCTTTTCATTAATTTTGTTATGCGTAGTAGAAAAAAATTTACTCGAAAGCTTTGATTTATTCTTAAAAAAAATTTTTTTCAGTGTGAAATTCCATTTTTAAATGAAAAATATTTAATAATAATTTTTATTATTAATGTGAAAAATTGGAAAAAAGTGTTTTGTTAATACTTAATTTTAATATGGTGATATTCATATATACATATGTATGTATATATCATACCTTATATTTTTACCTATATGAAATTCTGCATACACACATATTTGTACATATGGAAATATTAAGTAGGTACATATAACTAAATGGGTATAGGTATGCAAAATTAAAATTTTTCATATTAATTTTTTTTTTATAAAGAAAAAAAGACTATTCATTTTGAGTCGTCGTAATTAATTGTGTGGTGACAGCTTTTTTTAAGCTTTTATTCATAATATATACTAGTGTACACATGTTAAGATGAATGTGCATATGTGTATTATTTATAGGTACACTCTTTTGAATTCATGCAAATATAAATATACAATATTATATTATATAAATTTAAAAAAATTTCTATATTAAATTTTGAATACATACACATAAGTATGGCTAGATTTTAAATATATTTTTACATCTATACTTATGCCAATACAAACTTAATGTTATCTACGTGTATCTATGCATTTTATTGAAATATTTACCAATTTAAGTCAGAAGAAAATTTATGAGAATAGAAATAAAAAAAATGATTTCGAACAAATAAATTTTTTTTAATAGAAATTTTATGTGAAAGGGTTCTTTTCCGCTCGTTTCGGTTCATTTTTGTAAATTTTTTTAAAAGAAAATAAAAAAAATTCATGTGACTGTGTCAAGTGCATTTTACTTTTTCAGTGATTCGCAAAAATTTTGACTGATTTTTTTATATTATTTGATTTTAAATTTTTTTTGTTATTATTTCATGAAAATGGCTTTGCGCCGTCGCGACAAGTAGCTATTTAATAATGTTTAAAAAAAGCAGTCATACCATTTCAATCTTTTTTTTACTATACAGTATTCTCTACAAAACCACGCATATTATGATGGAATAAAATTTTATACACATAATATACATAAAATAGTATGTATATACATACATATGTACTGAAAAACACAATGGATTTTGCGATTTGTAGAAAATATATAAAACCAAACCAGTACCTATACAATCAAATTTAAGTTGTAGACTAGGTGAAGGTTTCTAAAATTTAAATTAAAGTTTAAAAAGTTAATTTTTATAACATGTTAATTTAATATATACATAGGTACTATATTCATAGGTATAACTTTTTTTTTATTCGGTGTTGTTTTTGTTAGTTAAAATAAAAACAATAAGAAATATAATTAATAAAATAAAATATTTTGCGAGTATCATAATACTTGTATTATTTACATAGAAAAGAGAAAATTACAAATCCTTACAAGTATGTGTATGTACATTTATACAGCCATACATTTATTCATATGTAAAATACATTTAAAAATATTTTTATATTTCTTAATAATACATGCATATACACGTGTGTGTATGCATGTTCTTATTGATAAATTAACTAGTAATTTTTTTTATACGTACAAATACGGCTCTCGAATTTCAAACTTTCTGGCTCTTATGCTCTAAAGAAATTTTAATATGACATAGTGTAAAATAAATAAGAAAATGCAAAAATGGAAAAGATTCAATACTCTGTAGTCCTGAAAATCTTTCAAGAAAATTTCGTACCAATTCAGTAGTAGCTTAGCAGTTGTAACAATTGAAATTCAGTAGTAACTTAGCAAAAAAAAATTTTTGGAGAAATAGGTCCAGTTTCATTTATAACTGACTCTTGTACTGTAGGGCCTATGTAATCTTATGAAATCAATTTCATATGTGAAATTAAGAATAGAAACTAATATTAGTACCTACGATTCTGTTATTTTCCAATAAAAAATTATCATGCTTTACTCAAAGCTTCCAAAAATTTGGTGTGTGCAATAT